TTCTTCAATTTTTTTGTCTATAGGTGTTATTTTCAGACTGTCTCTTAAATAAATATTTTTAGTTTTGTCCTGTTTGGGAACATTTGACGTCCATTTTAGCATTCGCATTTCTGCTACAAGTAATTTTTGTATGTATTGTTTCTGAGCTGCCCTTCATTCAGTGCCATACATTAATACCGGCCTGACAGCTGTTTTATACAGTTTTCTTTTTAGTTTAGGTGGCATTCTTTTGTCACACAAGACTCCGGCAAGTGTTCGCCATTTCATCCAACTAGCATTAACTCTATATTTGACATCCTGATCTATTTTTCCATCTACTGTTATAACTGATTCAAGATATTTAAATTTAGATACCATTGTCAGAGCTTGCCGTTCTACATACACCGTATTATGAAGTTCATAAACATCATTATCATAAAAAGGTAGGTACATATATTCCGTTTTTGAGAGATTTATACGTAGACCGTTACTTTTCAATCTTCTATTCCACTGATTTGAGCTTCTTTCTAACTCATCCTTTGATTCTTCTATCAATACAATGTCATGAGCATGCAGTATATACCAAGGGGTTGGCTTCTGAATGTCCGCAATTAAGTAATTAATAGTAATGCCAAACAGAAGTGGACTCAATGCTGATCCCTGATGCACGCCTACTTTAATAGGAAATTTGTCTGTTATCCCCACTGCACATTTTATGTGCGTTGTGCATGAATGATACATATCTTCTATAATATTGACATAATATTCTGGCACTTTGTGAGCTTTTAATGCGCTAAATAGAATTTGCCGTGGGACTCCGTCGACTGCTTTTTCAGATCTGTTAAAGCTATATGTAGATCCTGATTTTTGACTTTATATTTTTCTGATAGAATTCTCACAGTTTGGATTGCGTCCATAGTGGAGCCACCCTGTATGAATCCGCATTGGTTTGGTACTATATTAGGTGTTTTGGTTAAACCGGCTGCAATTATTCTTCCCCAAATTTTCATTGCATGCGGCATTAGTTTTATACCTCTATAATTTTCACAGGCTTGTATATCGCCTTTATCTATAAAAACCGGAACAAGGTTATTGTTCCTTCAGTCCTGAGGCATGCGTCCCTCTTACAGGATTTTGTTAAGGAGGTTTGTGAGCCATTTTATGCTCGCTTCACCTGTGTATTTCGAGTTTTCTGAAAGTATTAGATCCGGTCCGGTTGACTTATTGTTTTTCATTCTTAATACTGCCGCTTCCACTTTAGATGAACTGATTGGTGATATGGGTCTGTAAACTGAAGGTTCCTCCCGTTCACTTTCATGAGGAAATTCTTCATTCAGGAGTTGGTTGTAGTATTCTACCCATTTCATTTTAATTTGGTCGTCTCTTGTGAGCATGATGTTATTTTTACCTTTGATGTATATAACTTGTTTCCTTTCTTTTGTTGTTATGTTGTTTCGCCACTTTATAGATGCATTTTTCTCCTTTTGGCGTGTTCAATGTATTGTAGAACTCTTCCTGCGCTTGGAATTTTGCTTTAGCAACTTCTTGTTTCAATTTTCTTTTTGCCCCTATATATATTTGTTTGTCATTTTCCTGCTTGTTTTTTTGCCATATTATGCTAAAAAATTTCTTTTTGTTTTGGATATTTTCTTGCACATTTGGATTACACCACCACGTTTCTTTTCCTAAATGCAGCGGACCTTTCGAAACCCGTAATAATATTTCAGCTTTACGGATGCAAGTTTCTCTGAATTTTTGCCGCATCTGTCCAGTATTATGCATGTTATAGTTATTTTCATTTTGAAAATATTACACCAATTAATTTGCAAACTCTTAGTTTTGTAGCACTTAATTTTTGCCATCCTTTGCGTTTTGTGTTTTACTTCTTGTGCTGCTAGCTTGAAATCGGCAATTAGAACTCGATGTTGGTTGGTAAGAGGATCTTCTGGTCTTTACAATCTTTGCACCATTTAAGCTTCTTCCGATCGTGTAGGATATAATCAACTTGGGAAGCGGTGTCTCCACTCTTATAGGTAATAAAATGTTCTTCTTTCTTTACAAAGAACGTGTTTAAAATTGCAAGATTACATGCAGAGGCTAGTTCTAAGATATCTAGACCTTGTGTGTTGCAAACGCCATTCCCATGCCCACCATGCCATGTTTCGTATTGCACATTTAGTTTTCTAACATGCCCGTTTAGATCACCACATACAATCTTAATTTCATCATCTGGTCCCATTTGTAAAGTACAGTGCAAATTGCTCCAGAAATCTTCTTTTGTTTGGGCATCACATCCAACCTGAGGAGCATATACACTGTATACGTTGATTTTGGTGTTATTTTCTACCACTAATTTAATGGACATATTTCGGCCTGTGTGCCTCTTCACATTTACCACTTTTTCGCGCATTTCATTATTTACTACAATCGTCACCCCACGGTTTTTGTTCTTTTCATCGTGATAGTATAATTTCTATCCATTTCTAATATTTTTTGATTTAGATCCAACCCATTTGGTTTCCTGTATGCATGCAATGGGCACACGTCGTCTGCTTAAAACTTCTGCTAATTTTTCTGCGCTCAGTTAGTGTTCCGATATTCCAAGTTGCGAGTCGTACATGTTTATATTTAATTTTTGTGCTTTTACTGTTTTCCATATTTACTTTTTCGCCGTTTAAGGGGGACGCCCTAGCATTTCGTTTCTCCTTCATATTCTTTGCTTTCATGATTAAGGAGTTATAGGTTTTGTTTTGACCTTTGAGTTTTACTGCCGGTGGCCACCAGACGCAAAGACAGTAACTTTCCTGGAAAGCCTGTACGCTACCTTTGGCTCGTGAGGAATCCATACGCTATTTGTTTCACTACGTGATGCTGCCCATCACGTAGGTCTATAGCAACCTAGTCTTTGAATAAATCAAAGTAACCTGCTATAGTCTCCTCTCTCGTCAGCCTCTGACCCAGTTCACTAAAGAAGTTGGTTACCACACTCTCGAACTGAGTTGCTCAGAGCCCGGAATTCACCACGTGGAGGTGAGAGTAGGAAATAGGTTAGAAGAGGGTATATGATCCTGACCGCTTACGGGATCGATATGTTGCGCATTCCAACCCTTGGAATCCCAATTATATAACGGAGGCGACGATAATAAATTTAAAAATGTTCTTTACTACCACAATCTTTACTTTACAGTAAACTTACAGCCTTATTTATTACACTTTACAGGACGACTGACAGGACAATTGGTACTGAAAGAGCCATGCATAGACGCACTTATACAACCGCATTGTCAATTGACTTACACGTTTTTGTTTACTCCTCCCGCGGGCTACTGTGTGAGCAGATGAAAGCTGTGCCATCGCTTTCTTGGCAGGACATTGTCGTCAGATCTGCTCCTCTTCTTATTGAAGTCGCTCCTTGCCTTACAAGTCCGGAACGCCCTGGGTTTCTATCTTCCGAAATCACGGACTTAGTTCTCTTATTTCCTTCGAGTCCAGAACCACAACATTGTTTTCCTCATCTGCATTTCCTTTCAAGGATTGAGCTCCCCCGGGTAGGTCTTGCAATTTCCTTCTGGAATCTGTACGGATTAATTTTGCTGAAACCAATTTCACAGTTTGTTTAAATGCTTGCACTAACCTCCTCAAATGGCCGGAGTTCGTCTTACTTATAATGGTTTTTTCACTACCATTCCCCGTCCCAGAGCTCGAATAAGACCCACTCCTGTTGACTTCGTGTGAGATGAAATCTGAGCTAATCTCACAATCCAATTCCGATAGGATCCTCGTAGAAAATGAAGGCCGCTACAAAGGCAGCATTTTTTCGACGGTATTCCATTCAGCGGCATTACGTTCCTCAAAGCCTGTTTTCACTTTGACGCTTAGTAAAAGTTTTAAAATTTTTTTGCCGTGACTAACTTAACCTGAAATATAGGAGTGCTCAAAGAGAAAAATTAGTCCTTTTACTTTTTACTTTTAATATTGCTTGAATGATCTTAGTGGTACAATTTTTTATATACATTTTGTAAGCTATTATTTTTTTTCTAAACAGGTACTAAAAATCATCTAGACACAGAAATAAGTGGGCTGGATTTATTGTCAGACCTATCAATAGTGGGAGATCTTAACTCAACATAAAATGCTCTTGAGTTGTCATAACTTTCTAAAACTAGTCAATATGACTAATCATTTTTTATACTCTATCTTGTTTTTATGTATATATTCCTTGAAATAAGGTACAGAAATGCTGTTCCCATCACCTTAGGATTAATCACGAGGTTTCAGTCTTTTTGTCCTAAGGGAGCACGAATCATATTACGAAGCACCTTGTTCTGGAAAGTGTGTATTTGCTTGATATTAGTTTGCTCTATGAAACTTCATATAAAATTATTCGAATTTAATCGCGGTGGGTTTACTTAATTTTTGTTTGTGAAATACACAGATTTACTTTTATTCAACTTGATCTTCTATTTATATATCCCCATGTTTCTTTACTTATATCATTACCTGCTTCTTGTACATTTTTTCTTTAGTATTCTTCAGTATTGGGTTCTACTACCAATATTGTTGCATCGTCGACAAATGCAGGTTACGTTCCCCAACTCTGACTAGTCACTCGTATAACGTACGTATAATATAAGACTAGGGTCCTATATCAATACACTTGCATAAAGTACGTATATACCGTATAATAAAAGTATTTACATACCGTTTTGAAGCGCGATTACTATAATTTCTCTAAGCGGAGTACTCCTTTTCAAGCTTAATTCTAAAAAACCTTTCAATTAAATATGATTCAAAAAACTCCACAAATTGTAAAGGTATCAGACCTTTGTGTAAAACTTTATCAAAGCCCGTCCAGAAATATTGTTGATTATATTTTGCCTTTTTTCTAACGCTTCTTTTTTTAATATTTTTGTGTATTTATTCCTGTATATTTCTATAAGCAAAATTTTAAGACTATTTGATTTCAATTAGAATAGATATTAGATTAAAATTTTATATGAAATTCTTTAATTTCTTTTTAGTTACAACAAGCTTTCAAGGACAAAGAAGAAGAAAATCAAAGGCTCAAAAATTACATTGATACAATATTACTAAATATTGTTGAAAATTATCCTCAGCTTTTGGAAGTGAAAGCATCGATGCCAAAACAACAAACGCCAAATGGCAAATAAATGTGTTAAATCGTTTTGTGTAACAAATTTGTTTACAATAATAAAGAACGACGTAATAAAAATTATTGTAAATTATTTTTATTTTGTACATCTAATTTTATAAACCCTGTGAAATATCGAGCACTCACTACTAATTTACAAAAGTACAATATTAAATGCAAATCATTTGATTTGAAAGCGGAAAATGATAAATAATGTAAAGGCTTTTGTATTTTTGGTAAATAATTTTTGTATTTTTGTTAAACACTTTGAATGAGTAATTTACAAAAGTTTTAAACAAATAACAAACATAAGGAATTAAGAATAATTAAGATTTGCTGGCCTTAACATTACTTTTTTTACTTAAGTCATTAATCTTAATATATTGTATTAGTTACAATTCATGTATTAGTACGTATTGTACACACTTACATACACATTATATAAATCATTTTAAAAGTTTTGTAAAAATACACAAATAAATTCAAGCAAAGCTAGAAAAAAAGTAATATTATTTAGAATTTATTCAACAATTTTGTAAGGGGCAACAAATAAAACAAATAAAATTAATAAAAGCTCTTAATTTCAAATCGCAATACAAAATCAATTTTTATGTTTTGAACGTTACTCCGTTTGGCGTAAGTTTGCAAAAATGAAAAACTTTAAAGATCATATTAAAAAAAATATTTCATGAGAAGACTTTTGAAAACTTGTGGGGAAACGCATTTTTATAAAAGGTCAAAAGTATGTTTTGTTATGTTTTGTTTAAAGTTTAACGTAAATAATATGTAAATTCGGTAATTTAATAGTATAGTATTTTTAAATAGATATGTAACAATTTTTCATTACACAATTAAAAAAGTATGAAAAAATACAAAAGTATAAGATTTTTTATGAAAAGTAAAATTCCAAAATTTTTTAAATTTCTCAATCTTTGAAGAAAACTTTTTGAAATAGCATATATGAATTTAGACTTGAACTACTTCTTTTATTGTTGTATTTACATTTCCTCCTTTAAACAAAAAAGTGTAAAGAACGTTAAATTTTTTTTTAAATTATTGAAATAATAAATAATTATTTTCAATTCCAACATGTTTATAGAATTAGTTAAGGTAGCAATAAGGCAATGAAAAATTATATACCCTAAAATTAAAAAATTATGTTTTTTTTTTTACAATTTTCTCATAATTTTGTTTAATTTTAGGAAAATTCTTACTAAATTATCTTCCAATTATGATTTATTATTGTTAAAATTTTATCAGATTAAGAAATTTAAAAACAGCAATAGGCTTGAAGGAATTTAAATATTTTCTATATTTGCTAATATAATTTTTAGTAATTTAATATTTTTTTATTGTTGGTAAATATTTTTACTTATTAATTGAAATTTTTCTTTTTATACTAATAAAATTATACAAATAATGTGAAAAACTTAAAATTTTGCTGTTAAAAATATATATATATATTTTCTTAACCCTATTATTATAACTGATTATTTTATGTTTCACTATTATATTAGTCGTTAATATACTAGTAAACAATGTTTAATAGTTTAGTAATTAATTAAAACAAAAATAAATTTAGAATAATATAACTAAATTAAATAAAAATAACGACAAAAGAATTTATTATGTTATTGTTCATTTACCTTATGTTTATTTTGTACATAATATGTACCAAATAGACAATTTTTTATGCAATACAAAAAAAAATTAATAAAAAAATAAAGCAAATAAAAAAATAGAAAAAGCAAATTTAAGATGTTGTTATTACATTATCTATAACAAACTTGGAACCTTTACACAAATGGAGATATGCCGTCAATTTGGAAACAATTATCTGTATACAACATAATTGTTTTTAGCCCCAGTGCACTAGATTTGTAGATTTGTACAGCGGGGGTACAACATTGCACCGCGACCACGTATAAGCATCCAATGTGGGACCTCTTTGATTTTTTCCTTAATTCCCAAAGAATTGTACGTTGTCCGATTCCGCAGAAGGGCTCCGGTCCGGAACTATATCATCACCATAAGCACCAATTCCTTGACGAAGCAGCTCATCAAGGAGTCCATCCACCACATGACGATTCCACATAACGGCGGAGATAGAACTCCACGCTTTACACATCCCCTAATCACGCATCCACATCTCTTCTCCCCATGAAAAGTGTTGTCGAAAGCACACTCGATATCCAAGAACGCACATAGTGCCACACCCTTTTGTTCTATTGTGGTTTCCAGGGTGCTAGTAAGGCGGGACAGACCGGTCTCTGTCGGCCCCCACGCCCAATACGCATGGTGATAATCGCTCAGCGGCTTCCTAGTCAGTATGCCAGTCTGGACATTGTCTACTATTTACTCCATCGTCTTCAATAAAAATGATGCTAATCGGTCTGAATTGCTTGAGCACGAAGTGTCTCCTTCCCAATTTGGGGGTAAAGACCACCCTAGCCACTCGCCAGGACTCGTGAATGTATTAGAGCGCCAATGCACTAACTTGGCAGTCACATTGCCTAAAAATAACAGTGACCTTTCTAAAGCTTTTGACGGAAAATAATTAAAAGGGTAAATAAATTTACCTACGAAAACTGATATTTTTTACATTTGAAATTATCTCTGCAATTACGTTTTTCTTTTATACTGTATATAATTAGAAATTTAGAAATACAAACCAAGAAATAAACGATACGTTTTACGTTATTATTAGGAACACAAACCGAGAAATAAATTATATTTCAAAATACAACGATCTCACATATTTACGGTTCGAAAAATCGAAATAAGCTTAACGAAAATAAATGTCAGCTTTTATCAAAAACATTAGATGTTTTGTGGTATCTGAATATTAGTGCTTCATTTGTTATTAAATAAAGGCATGTGTTTGCCTTCATTATGCTGATAAACGAGATATCAGGACACTGGTAGACCAACTAGCTAATCTATCTAGAAGAACCTCACAATTGACGAATTCTATGCCAACGTTAATCATCAGCTGTCCCTGATAATCAACAAAATAATAAGCGAGAATTACGGTATCGAAACATTACAAGCACTAAGCGAAACATATTGGAACACTGCCCTAGATGTGTTCATAAAAAGACTAAATGGAAATTTATCAAGAATGCTCAACATTCAGTGCCCCAATTCTTACCAGAAACGTATTCTTCGTGCCTCGAAATCCAGAATTTCAGTGTACGTAGTATACCGATACACAGTAAGAGCTCAAGCAATAGAGTGATAGATCCAATTAATGCACTTTCGAAGAAAAAACCGTCATTCAACCAATTACAGCCAATAAGCTCTTATTTTCAACAGCCATACAATTACAATAGATATGCATTCAGCGGAATGAACGAAAAACGGCTGTCCCGATGGAAGCTGATCACTCAATTCAAACAAAACAGTTGGACTATTCAAACCGGCCTAGCCAAAATTTCAAACAAAAATTTTGTAAAATCAGAACAACCAAAGAAACCAAGGCCCACAGTATGCCCATTTACCATACGATCAGCTGGAGGTGATATTACTATCGCGCAAAAAGTCAGCGCAAGACTCTTCAAACCATACGGCAGCAACACGAAATTAGACTTCTTCCTGCTACCAGGACTGAAATCATTCGGCGATGATGCCCTGAAACAACTGGAGGCAATCATTGATCGCAAAGAAAACACTTTAAAAATATCGTAGAATATCACGATACCGTTAAGAGGCAAGAAATCGATTCAAGTCAATAACATCGAAACAAGAATAGACCATCTAATCAAGGAATCCAGAAACAAAGTCATCAGGCTCCTAAGCAGCTACCAGAAACTCTTCGGCCCCCTTGACGATCAAAAAACTTTCTAAACTCAAGTTCGAGCAAAAATCAAAACCCCGAATAGCTAACCAATCTATTCGAAAATTTACCCATATCCAGTAAATATGAGGAATAAGGTGAACAACCAAATTTAGAATTTGTTAGAGAATGGAATCATCAGCCCTTAAAAAAGTGAATACAGTCGAGAAGATTAGAAGAGTCGAGAAGAAAAGAGAAAAGCAAGAAAGTGCAGAATGGTAATAAATGCCAATCAATCAAGGAAAATAGCAATCACATTCAATGAAGAGGAATTAAGAGCATTCAAAGAGCTGTAACAGACCTTATCATCAACAGAATTATTAGTATTCCCCCATTTTGAATAACCTTTTATTTTTACCACCGATGCTTCGAACAGAGCACTCGGTGCAGTGTTGTCGCAAGGCGACATAACCAAAGATCGCCAACACGACCAATGTCATATGTGTCACGAGCACTCAACAAAACAGAAGAAGTATGCGCAACCCACGAGCGAGAATTATTAGCAATAGTCTGGGCTCTGGACAAGTTCAGGTGTTATCTCTATGGAGCAAAAAAAGTGAAGATTTTAACCTCTAACCTTTAGTCTAGGCAACAGATATAACAGTGCCAAGCTTAAGACATGGAAATCACGAACAGAGGAATATAACTACGACTTAGTATACAAACCAGGGGTTGCACTTTCAAGACTTATGCAAGAACTCAACAATTCAGAAACTACAGTAACAGTGTACAGCGCAGAAGAGGACAGCAGTGACTTGATACCACATTACGAATCTCCGCTCAACGTGTTCAAAAATCAGATCATCGTGTGACAAGGACCAATACCTTCTGACTACGAAAATCCTCATCCAAATTACCACCGCCATTATATTGATCTTCAGGATATCATTAATTTAATACAAATCTATTAGAAGCATTAAGGAGAGCACTATCACCATCAATTCTCAATGGTATTAAAATACCCGAGAATCAAATTCAGCTGCTGCAGGACTTATATTAAAATCATATCCAAGGATACAAAATTCGCATAAAACAATGAATCGTGCGAGATGTCAACAATAAAGAAAATAAGTACCAAATTATCAGGCTTGAACATAAACGAGCGCACAGGAACTGGAAGAAAATAAGGAGCAAACAATGGAAAAGAACTCGCCATCCTAATAATCCATGGCTATTGGGAACACTTGTACCCATTCATCCAACTGAAATCCTACACATTTGTACATTACTATACAGTACCTGGAATGATAGTAATCGATAGATGAGCCAGCTTTTCAAGCCCTTACATAGTCGATTATTTGAGAACCTTGGGAATCGAGTTATACATCGCTCCAAAGCAGAAAAGCGAACCAAATAGTGCTGTAGAGCTAGTCCTCTTAACAATAGAGGAAATATTCAGATGCCTACAATAGAAACATCGAAATTTATCATTTAAAGAAACAATTAACATTGCCGTGGATCGGTACAACAACAGCATTCACTTCGTTACCGAAATAAACCATCAAACATTTTTTATGGAAGAACACAACGAACCATTACCAAAACTAAAAAATTTTCAAGACAGGTTCTAACTTATAGAAGCCATAAAAATTTAATCCGAAACGATAATGAGCAATACCATATCAATCAAGTTCTAACAAATACAACAAAACATATTCTGATGCAATATATAAAACTATTCAAAGGTTTGATTAAAATTCAAAAGAAGCTGATTACCGAACTTTTCAACCAAATTAATATGATAGAGAAAGAAAGAAAAGAAATCTTAGGAGCCAACTAGCCAAGGGAAAAATAGTGAACACCAATTTATTAAATAAAGAGGAAATCAACCATTTAATTTTTGAAATGCGAATATACCGTATTACAATGTTATTGATATAATCGAGTACGCTACACCAACAGTACTAGTCAAAAAGATGACTATACTCTACATATTATCACTACCAAAAAGCAGCGGTATCGAATATAGCTTTATTAAAATAAGAGCCACCACTAAAAGTAATAAGCAGTTACATCTAACATACAAAAGTCTAATAACGAACCTCAAAGAAATTTTTGGTGTTAGCAACGATTGTATCAAGTATAAAAATATCTTTATCTGCAAAATGGATCAAATAGAAGTATTACATGATGACCACTGCATCACCCAAATTCTGAGAAAGAGCAACAATACTTGTGAGTACGAGTTCAACAGAAGGGAATCAGTCGAAGTAATCAATGAAAATATGATATTCCTCAATAATTCCAATGCAACAGTCAAAGCTAACAACACAACAAAAAACCTTAACGGTAACTTCGTCAAAGTATTTTACAACGAAACAATTCAAATTGAAAACGAGACCTCTACCAACAAAGAATTTCAATCGTTTCAAATCATTTTGCCACAAATAATGAGCGACAACCATTCCCAAGGAAAAATGAAACTCAACCTGGATAATTTGCACTAAGGTAATGTGAAACAACTAAGCGAGCTCACTTCAACTTCAGCAGTTAGCATTTAATGCCACATTCAGCTTAATTATCATTGCCATATTATTAGCAGCCAATATCCACAAATACCAAAACCGGAAAAATTTAAGATCTCTTTAAAAACGCCAGAACTAGGAGAACTGAAATCAAAACTCCAACCAGTAAAATTAAAATTCTGATCCACGTGGACGCGTATCTTAATGGTGGGAACAGTTAAGACACT